GGATTCTGTGTCTCCCTCTCTCTCTCTGCCCCTCCCCCATTTGCATTCTGTCCTCTCTCTCTCTCTCTCAAAGTAAACCAAAAAGAAAAGAAAAGAAAAGAAAAAGACAGACTGAGCACCAGGCAGAGATAAGGAACCAGGCCTAGTAATGGCATTAAGTGAATAGCGGCTTCAGCAAATCAGCTTGTGAAATAAAATCAAATCCCAGTTCTCCAGGGTTGGCAGTAGAGGGCGGTTATTTTCTCCCGGAACTTCCTTTCTCTAGGGGTCTCTCACCAGTGACTGCTGCCTGCCTTACCTGCCTGTCCAGCTCCAGACCTGTCTGGTTGTGGTCTCCAGAGAGCCTAGCTGTTGCACAGTGCAGGTGGGAGGTGACTGTGCCTTGGACCGGGGTGAAAGCAGTGGTGGTAAAGATGGACCGATTCAGGAAGTGATTTGGCAGCTATGTCAGCCAAGCTCCAGTCAGGAAGTCAGAAACCACACTAGCTACTTCTGACAGAGGGTGCTAAATGTGGGACATTGGTCACAGAGTGTTGGAAGGCCCGCGGAGCAAAAGGGAGAAGGGAGAGCGTGCCGCAGGAAGAAGAGGTTCGAGGGGAGGCGTCCACCGCAGGTGCCGGAAGCAGAAGGGATCCTGCAGTGGTCTTGATGGGCTGCGAGGGTGCCACACTCAGGCACCGAAGTGTGCACACCGTCCCCTCACTGCTACGGCAACCGTGAGCGGCAACCGTGAGCGACGGCTGCTCCTTCCTTTCTCTGCCTTCTGTCTGGCTGGTGCCTCCCATTGGCGGAGATCAGCAGCCGGCAAGGGGACGCGGGAAGCCCGGCAGCACGAGACCTCACAGAAGGGAGGGGTGGGGTGAGAGGCAACAGAGGGAGAAACAGCAGGGGTAGAACCGACAGAACTTGCTGATAGACTGGATGTGGGGGTGCAAGCAAAGGAATCAGGGATGACCCCCAGGCATTTTGGCTTGAGCAGCTGAAGGGATAAAGGAGCTACGGACGGATATGGGGGGAAGTGGGGCAGGAATTGATTGCGGGGAGAATTACGGTAAAATGCTACACCGTCAGGGGCGTCTGGGTGGCTCAGTCGGTTGAGCGTCTGACTCCGGTCGTGATCTCACGGTTTGTGGGATCAAGCCCCGTGTTGGGCTCTGCACTGACAGTGTGGAGCCTGCTTGGGATTCCCTCTCTCCCTCTCTCTCTCTGCCCCTCCCCCACTCGCATGTGCACGCTCTCTCTCTCTCTCTCTCTTTCAAAATAAATAAACTTAAAAAAATGCTACACCGTCAGCCTAATACATATACAATAAACACACAGGAGGGAAATTGTTTCTGACCGACTCTTAAACCAAGTGTGATGTTCACATCATGCTTCAGTTTGAGGAGCAGGAACTTTTGTGCTCAGGCCTCGCTTTGACATCATACTGGAACCCCAGGGGCTCTGCTCTCAACTGGATATCCCCAATGCTCTCATTTAACTCATAGGGAAAAAAAAAACCCAAAGTATGATAGTAACTCAAATTCTCCACTACGTTTTCAGGGAACATTCAGATTGCCTTCTTTGGCTAGAGCTAACACTTAGCACTAATGAAAACGGTTGAATCTTGTGATCCACAGTAGTTACGTTCTATAAAGCCACCACAAACACCCAATTAGCAAATACTGAACCATCGCTCCTAGGGGAAATATGAGATTAGGCTTCTATGTGCCCCGGTCATAACATTTTCAACCAGCCATTGATTCATTGAACTCACAGCCAGGAGCACTGTAAATCATGCTGTACTGAAGTTTATCTAACACACTTTCTCCGTGAGCCACATGGTGGCCTTACTACACATAGGAACACTAGACAGCACCTCACTGCTATGCTTGGGGGTCATTTTAAATGTTTGTATTTTTATTTTTGAGAGCGAGAGAAAGCACATGAGCAAGGGAGAGGCAGAGAGGGGCGGAGGACCCGAAGCAAGCTCTCTGCTGACAGCAGACAACGAGATGAGGGGCTTGAAATCACAAACTGTGAGCTCATGACCTGAGCCGAAGTCACTTAACTGACCGAGCCACCCAGGCGCCCCTGCTTGCAGGTCATTTTAAATAGCAAAATCACCAACAATAAGCAGAAAATGTAGCAATACATAGAAAGTGCACAGAGCACTTGTTTCCAGTATGACAGCTGAAACCAGAAAGCAGAACGTCAGCTTTCTCCGCCTCAGCATGGAAGGTAGGTGTCAGGTGACTTACATTTATCACTGCTCTGAGCATGTCTGCAAATAACCGTGAAAACACTACAAGTATTGATTGGGGATTGCAAGCATATTTTAGTAAGCAAGTGGATTCACAAAGGCAGAATCTACAAATAACAAGGCTCAAGTGTACTTCCTGCCAAAGTCACTGTTCACGCATGGCCTTAGCTTACCTCACTGCTCCAGCACAGCCCTCCTAGACGTTGCTCAGTTGTGGGCTCCTCTCCTCCTCAGCACCTGTTGTTACTCCCTTCTGGCTCCTTGCTCTGTGGACCTAGAAAAAAATCCGGTAACTTCTTTACCTCAGTTAACCTAGCTATGAAACAGTTATCATAGTGGCACCTGGGTGGCTCGGTCAGTTAAGCGTCCGACTCTTGATTTCAGCCCAGATCATGATCTCATGGTGCATGGGATCAAGCCCCGCATCAGTCTCTGCACTAACAGTGTGGAGCCTGCTTGGGATTCCCTCTCTCCCACTCTCTGCCCCTTTCCCCCTCCCGCACATGCTCTCTCTCTCAAAATAAACAAATAAACATTAAAAAAATAAGTAAAAGGAAACAGTTACAACAAACACTAATTAACTCTTAGGCTCGCCCTGTGGGTAAAACTATGTGAAAAGATGAAGTGCCACAAAATGTAAGATGTAGTAACTGTGTTACTAAGTATAAATTTTCAACTAGGCCTCTTGAGACTGCATTTGGCTGCTTTCTCCCTACCTCAAGATCCTCATTTTCCATAATCCCCCAAGGCAAAATACCAAACCAAACTCTGCTTGCTGTGCTCTACCCATATTCAGGAAGTCCTTCTCCTTCTCCTTCTTTTTAAAAAATTTTTAAAATGTTTATTTATTTTTGAGAGACAGGGGGAGACACAGAATTCAAAGCAGACCCCAGGCTCCGAGCCATCAGCACAGAGCCTGATACAGGACTCGAACCCACGAACCATGAGATCATGACCTGAGCCGAAGTCAGATGCTTAACTGACTGAGCCCTTTAATTTTTTTTAAATTTTTTTAATGTTTATTTATTTTTGAGAGACAGAGAGCGCAAGCAGGGGAGGGGCAGAGAGAGAGGGAGACAGAATCCGAAGCAGGCTCCAGGCTCCTAGTTGTCAGCACAGAGCTGGATGTGGGGCTCGAACTCACAAGCTGTGAAATCGTAACCTGAGCTGAAGGTGGACGCTCAACAGACTGAGCCCCCCCAGGCGCCCCTGGAAGTCCCTCTTCTAACTAAACCTTCACACAGGCTATTTCCCCTGCTGGAAGTGTCCCTCACCTTCTCTGCTGACCCTAGGCTCTCAACACTTTGAAACAAACAATTGAACACAATATTTACATCTTCACTCTCTCCTTTCACCCTATACAATGACAGTATAAGAATAATAATTTTTAAAAAGACATAAACCAGCGAGGATAGATAATAGGAAAGAAAACGATGGGTGATTAGACAGCAACAATTTTGGAAGATGGGTAAGTGGTAACTGATGTAGGGGGGTGTGAGGGGAGCCTGAAAGTTGCCTATAGAGACTGAGAAACTGATAA